AGATGATGCAGATGATGCAAAGCAGAAACTCGCATTTCTTGCATCCCTAAAGCCTTCAAGATACCCAACATTAGCACGAAAGCACTTTAAGCCGGTTCCAAAAACGTGAAAAAACACAGGATTCTAGAACAAAAATACCCCCCCCCCCCCCCCTAGCTAAAGCTATTGTATACTGACGATACGGATTGCAAGCACAGCCCTATAAAACGCCTCAGCACCTCCAAGCTCTCTCACAGTTCGAGGACTTCCTTTAGAGTGTTGTGTTCTCGATTCAAACAAAGTTTCTCTCTGGTTTGGGCTCTGGACAAAATCGCTGTAACACCTCACGGACAGTTCCAAGGATGGTCTTTCATCCGGACTCAGTCAAGCACAGCTCAGAACATTCAATCCTGGCTGCAACTGCTTGATTGAACCTGAAGCACAGCCGCTGAGCACCATCATTCCAATGCCATGATGGGTGGCACTGCTCCTTGGTGCCCAAGCTCACGCAACTGACAGATGCACAGTTGCAAAAAACATTTTGAGGGATGCTTTCTGTTGGTTTCACTTTTGCATCAGCAAGTGCGCACTTTGCGACCGGCGGCTTTTCGCTCTCGTTTTTTTTTCTTTCTTGTGACACGTGGCTCAGACCACAAGGCGCACAACGAAGGGAAAAAAGAAGGTGAGACGGTGAAACAGTGAAAACCCAAGAACTGAAAAAATGAGAACATTTAGAGGTTTGCATTTGCAGCTTGTGAACTTTGGACAATTCCCAGAAGTAAGCACTACGTCCAGCAATTGAGCCGTTACAAGCAGTCAAAAACTCAAGAATGGAAGTCTCTCATCTGAACAATTGCTTCCATGTTGTTTGCGCGAAGAGAGCAACTTTCAACATGTGATCTTCAACCAGGCAAAGATCTCACCCTTCAGGTCCGCACGAAACTTCGATAAATTCATTCATGCATTCTTGCTCACCTGTGCGCGACAACTGCTGGGTGAATGACGGAACTGAGACCTCAAGTTGTTGCGCTTGTGAACCTTTTCTCACCTGCAAGACGGTGGACAGCTGTGCAAGTCGCAAAATTGAATGCATGGAAGTGGCAAGAGAACTGACTATTGGAACTGTATTTGTTGCTGCACGAACACTTCAAATTCCATTCAGCGCAGCTCATTCACATTTGCTGCACTTTCGCAACATGGAACCTTCTTTGTCTCATTGGTTTGCGTTTTTGTCATTTGACAAACTGCATGCTTTTGGAATATTATTTGCACACCAGGCACATACCGTCAGAGCTCAGCAGCACAACAGAAACACTCGACATTCTCACCAGACACATGCCGAGCTGATGACCGCCCTCCGGTTGCTGGGCAGTGTGCAGGCGCCAAACATGTTGGATAAGATTTTATTTTTTTTTCAATCATGTTGGATAAAACTGGTTTTTGAAGTGCTTGTTTCTTTTAGTTGATATGAACCCCAGGCTCTTGGGCGTCGGTCAGCTTTTGCCAGCTTGTCAGCCAAGTTGCCGCGACATCGTAGTCGCCTCAAACATGTTCATTTGGGATGAGAGTCGAGAGTCGAAACCAGAGTCGTTGGTAGATAAAGGACAATTTCCAAACATTTTTCCGTTTGTGACAACAACAGCTTGAAGTTGAGTTAATACTGCTGTATTGATCAGTGCAACAAACATGTTAGACTTGTGAGAAATCCGTGGTGCATCAGGTTCGCGACGTGCGGTGAAACCGGCGGAGACTGGAGAGGACTCAGGGGATACAGTAATGTAGTTTTCAAGATCCCAAGCAGCCTGTGTTTTGGGTCAGTTGTGTTAGCATAGAAACCTTCCTCCAGGCAACGCAGCTTGGCTCTCTGCCCGAGTGGCTTTTTGAAGATCGGCCTGTTTGGGTGGAGGTGCTCAAGTCCCAATCGAATCAAGTTGAGGTTCCTAAAAATCTAGGAACCAAATGTAGCGCTTCTTGAAGGAAGCTTCCCCCCGCCGCCCTAAAGGCGGCGGGGGGAGTGAGCTATCCTGCGTCCTGTTGGTAGTAGCTTAAGTTTTGTTGTAGCTACCTAGCTACAGCCACTACCTCCCTAGCTACCTAGCTACGGCCAGCCCCCCCGGGCTAAAAATAGAAATAAAGCACACGAGTGTCTATTAAGATGTGTATGCGTTTGGCGCACCCTTTGGCCAAAGAATGTTCTAATGTGCAAGGCCTTGCTGCGTTTCTTGGGAGAACCCAACCTTCTTGTGGTACACCTGGCTGGATTCTGCAATTCCAAGTTTTGTTTTTCGCCACAAGAGACACATGTGTGAGTTTGTATTGTTTGTGTATTGCTCACTTGCCAAACTGATAATTCTTCTGTTTCCATCTCCATGACAGGTGCGCCTTGGAGGCTTGGTGCACAAAGCCCATGTGTTAAATTGATTTAAATTGCAGGGTCAGGCATCGCAGAGAAAAGGCCCCAAAGTTGAACATGCAAACTTGGCCAAGTCGATTAATTGGCCACTTGTTTTAAAGCAGAGGTGCAAAGCGCAACCAACATCTACGGCCTGCGAAAGGGCGGGTACCAGAGTTGCAGGAGAAGCAGAAAAGCGTGAAATGACTGGTTCGCCCCGCTCTAGCTTTGCGAAGGTGTTTGTTTTGAAACACATGTTGAATGGTGAGGCCTCTGAGTGCAAAATGTCACCATCCAACCACGTTTTTGGTATGCACATGTTTAACTTCCTCAATTGCTGTTTTGGAATAGCGTCCCAAAGATGGCACGCAGGAAGCAGCATGATTGAGTCAAGTTTGGAAAGCATACATCGAAAGCTATTCTGAATGCTTTTCCTGCGAACGTCATCCTGCAGACAATAGCAGCCAGCCATCATGAAGAAACGCCGATGCATTTACATGGAGACTGTGCAAAGCTTGCACACAGCTTCATCGAGAAAGCTGTCTCTATGATATTTACAAGCTGTGTACGGAAGCTGGCATACTTTTGAATCATTGTTGCTTTGCTCGTGGATCTACATGTCAACATGTCCTTTCAGCTTGGCTGAGAGGAACTTTCGATGCCTAGTGAAGAGCTGCGGGGGTGGGCCCGGCAGGAGCTGCAAAAGGTCGGGGGAAGCCGGAGTGCGAAAGTCAGGCAAAGGATAAAAGTATTCTGTGAATCTGACAGATTGTAGAAACAATCAGCTTCAGTGTGAGCAGCACCGTCGATTCCTTTGCACGCGTGCCTAAGAGTTTAGTATAAGCTTGGTAAACTCAAATCACTCCAGCTTTTTGTACAGAAACATCGGAAAAGCTGCATTGGCGGTTGTTTGCAAAATTGAGGTGTCCCGAAGATTCTGCATTGTCAGCCCCAAAATGACAGCCTGAGAGTGTTGTGACAATGTCGAGCACAGTCAAACACAGGCAGCGGATGAAGGTCGCCAGGCAGGGCCTTGCCCACTTGCCTGACAAGCAGTTTCAGTGCTGTGGTCACTTTAAGAGAGTCACTATGAAGAGTGACTGTCCCAGCACATGCAGAAGGGTTTGTTTGACTTTATGTGTGTTGGACTAAATTCATATCACTTGGGCAGAGCCACCTTTCTTTTAGCATCTTTTAGCTATATTTGGCAAATTATTTTGCAAAGGTCTGGGTGATCAAAGCACTGTTCAACAGGTAGCTCTTGTCCCTGAAGATCCTTTTGATTACACTGACACATATGTGAAAGATGCCTCAAGCCACCCACAGCAACGATTGGGTGTTGATGTGCCTACAGCGACGGCAACATCGGCCATTGACAGGCTCGACCTGTGGCAATAATTGCAGCTGATTCGCAGAATGCCGCTGATGCTGTGCAGGAACCTGCTAGTTATTTATATTTGGAGGTTTGTTTGTCTTGCTCCTTTGGGGTTTCGAAGCAAAAAGACCCGATAGCACTGACCACGAATTTGGCCATTTTACTACTGTGACTCCCAATCCTTTTGTGCCCAGCCTTGCAGGCTCTTCGTTCCATGGGCTTTCATCGTGTGGCGAACCTTCACACCCAGGACTTTGTGGGCACGTCGTCCTTGATTCAAAGACGTGGAAAAAGGTTGGGACAATGGGTGTTACGGTGCTACACATAAGCGTGAAGTCATTTTTTTCGACTCTTGTGTGTCCATCAATCAATGTCCTTGAAGCGTATCTCTAACCTGGGACACTGAAAGATCGAGATCTCACAGCGTCAATTTAGGACTGCTTTGGTTTGCAATTTTTTTCTCTGGATCAGAAGAGCGTGACAGGCCTTTCTACAGCAACTGCAATCAATACGACAAGTGCCGATCGATTGAAAAGGAGGCTGTGTCTTGCGAGGTTTCTGAGGTTTTTGCAAGCACATTGCACAGATTCGCACCAGTACAGCTTGCTCTGAGATTTTAGGTTTTCAGACAGGTTGATTCTACATTAAACCATGTGCTGTTTGGTTTCATGCTCTGTTTTAGCAAGGGCCTTAGAAGGGAAAGAAGACCCATTGGGACAGTTGGGTCATGATGAAAAGATCTTGTTCTTTGGAAGAGGGACTCCCGACGTGGTAACACTCGTACCTCATCTCTACTCCAGCCTGGTACGTCAGCTGACTTTTCCACAGCCACACGCACAGACACGTGATTTGAAATCACATCATCAAAAAGACACCGAACATCACATCACCTTATCACAAATCACCAGGTATCACACAATCATGTTGCATGTTGCATTTCAAGACTCAGGACGCATCAGGTCTCCTCCTTGTGCTTCGCCTCAGAGTAGCATCCCACTTTGTGTTTCGCTCGAGATTTGCTGCTCTTATTTCAATTTCTGGCTCATCAAGGCAATAGCTAAGTAGCTGCATTTCCCTCATGAGTACTGTATTCCCACTTTGGTGATTTGCAGGTCAGATTAAGCAAATGCTAACAGACGTTCTTTGTGCAGATGATGAGCTAGCTCTCTGGTCCTTAGAGCTACTTGCCGCATGGCACAAACCAAGCGGCAATAGCATTTCACATGATACTCGACACAACAAACACCCCAGCCAGATAGCACGATATTTTTGTTTTGGCCGGACGTACACTGCTCCACACTCCAGCAATGGGAAACGTGAGCATCTTTGTCGCAAGTAGAGACATACTGACATACTTTTCATCTGCGTGTGACTCCGGTTTGACAAGGGCCTTGGCCATGAAGATTTAATTTTGGACTTGCGTGGGGAACTCGTGGAATTGGCAGTAACATTCTTGGATAAGGCGACCATGTGAGCATGTGCAATGAGGCTGGATTATGGAGGGTATGGGGTATGGGAGCTTCTGCTTGGCGTTGTGAACAATACAGTCTTCCGAAGATCTCAATTTGATTGAGTGCTGTATGAAGCCTTGGACAGGAGTGTCAAAACCGCGCTGGCGAGTATGTGAGGCTGGAGCAAGCCAAAATTTGAGGTATGGGTTTGGCCCATGAAACGCCTGCAACACCACAGCATTTTGACAACGACCATCATAAACGCATGCTTAGAGAAGTTCCTTGAAGACCTTTCACGTACTGTGGGCTCAGGCTGTTTAACTGCAAGAATCATCATTTGTTTGATGTGGTTACCTGGTTCGCGCTTCGTTTGAAGGAATAGCCCAGTTCAGACGGAGAGGGTCATGAACGATGAGAGGTGGGACTTGTCGATTGATCAAAGCAACAAGAACCACGTCAGTCTTGGTGGAACAACTCTTTGAAAAAACTCTATCATTATCATCTTGGACTCGAGTTCATTCAGCAACCAAAAATGGATGGACAAAAAACGTGGGGATAATGCCACCCAGAAACTTGCTTTTCCACAGTGCTACAGTGCTGTTTGCGTTTGTGGACAGCAGATACTGAAGTTTGATTTGACAATCTATTTTTTGTGTTCAATTGCAGGGATGTGGCATGCGGCGCCTGGTTCTGGCTGAAGCATGGACACTCCTGTTCCAAAACTGGATAGGAACGATGACCACGGGCACACTTTCAGACTGTATGCTTCAGCATCTCTCAAGCGTTTTTGTCTCTTTTGAACACAGCAGATCTGCACATGTCCCAGACACAAGCAGGTTCTGAAACAGGTGGCATGGCTGCAGCAACTATATTACTTTTCGAGACCTGAGCCTGAGCTCCCATTGCAATGGTCGGGGAAATGACTTGAAGCTGCGGGCAAGGCATCATGGCAGCATTCAGCAGGGTGAACAGGTTGCGGAGTTTGGAGCTGGAATATGAAGACATCCTCGCATGCATGTAGTTCGATTGTGGATTTGACTTGCTCTTGTTTGTGATAGAATGCTCGTCAAAGAGAGACTTACTGTATCATCATCAACAAAAAGCCTTGGGCAATCACATTGAAGCACAGAATAGGTTTGGCTAATTGCAATTTTCCGATAAGGATCTACATTGCAAGTTACTTTCTGAGGCATATGCAAAACTCATATGCACTCTTCTTTTTCTTTCTCTCTCTATTTGGAGTTTCTTTTGGCTCTCAAATGCTCCCCTCATTTTTTCAAAATCATTCTGAGGGTGGTGAGGGTTGGACTTGGCAGCAGAGACGACAGATGCCAATTGATGTGAATAGTAGATTTCTGAGTCGGTGATCATCCTTAGAATCGAAACAACAGTTGGTCTTAACGAAACGATGGATCACCCAGTGAACAGTTGTCAGGTCTTGCGTTCTGACACTTGCAATCGGTTTGATGATTGTTGAGCGCACTGGTCACCTTGGTCTTGGTGCGAGCGGCTCATGGTGTGGCAGGTTGAAAGAATGATGCCGACTGTCGGCCTCTTTGGAGCGCTGGTTTCCCTTCACTCAATATTACTACTCACAGCGGCAAGGCAAGTGTTGACTCAGTGTTCTTGGTAAGTTTCAGAGGTGGTGCCCCAGATGAAATCATAGAAAAGGCACATGAATGATGGCCTCTGCAGTTTATGCAACCCAGCCACAGCTCATATTTGACTTTCATCGACTCGACAAATAATTTACTGGCTGGATCGCTTTGTTGGTAAGTATCTACAAAAGATGGGAGGGGAGAATGAGAGCTACCCTCTCCATCAACCGTCTCTCTGCAAGATCCCTCTCCAAAGCTTCCGTTTGCCATTGATAGGATGCTCTTCCGAATGCATACGCATACTAGTCTGTGAAGACAGCCATGATCATTTGGGTAGGGCACGGCGAATATGAGACTGACCAGCAAGGCGTTTGACTGTGTTCGATATCAACACTCTTGTTGTGACTTGCCGTAGCCATAGCCAAGTCAAGTTGCTCAAGACTCATGTGGTATATCTCTGGTCCAAATCTGGCGCAGAGGGCTGCTCGTCACGCATGGGTAGGGACTGGCGAAGAGGCCGTTGCAGACGCTTATGCTCGAGCTGGGGATGAGAAATATCCACTGGATGTACAGGACTTTTTAAAACTGTTGCGACGAAAGTATGGAACACTAGTACGAGCTTGGCGATTTGCGCTGGACACTGACAGTGGCAGTGAACTGGAGTTCTGTGAGTTTGTGGCAGCAGTTCGTCAAATGGGTGCAGGGCAGAATGCAAGAAGCCTGTGGTTCAATCTAGATGTTGATCAAAGCGGCACACTGAGCCTATACGACTTGGACCCAATCGCAGCGCATGCATTGGACAAGTTTCGCTATTTGTGCACCAGTCGCTTTGGTTCCATTCAAGCTGCATTTGCTGGATTCTTGGACTTGAACAAGTCTGGCATGATTGATTTGGATGAATTTGTGGAATGCATGGAAGGGCTCGGCTACGAGGCCTCAGTTGCCCAAGAGCTCTTTGGATTCTTACGCCCCCGACCTGGCAGTCGCCTGCTTAAGTCAATTGATTTGGAGTTTCTGCAAAAATGGGAAGATGCAAAGCAGGAGAAGAAAGAGAAGGCAAGACGGCAGGACGCGTTTTCAAATTTATGGAAACACAACATGCTCATGACTGTTTATGGGTTTTCTGTGTTTTTCAGTCAACCCACGAGATGAGAGTTGTAGGAGAAGTCAGAGCACATGTGATTCAAGATTCAATCGTCAGATTGTCAGGCGGGAACCTTGCACGTGGGCTGGGTGAACCGAGATCCTTGTGCAGCTGTCCAATATCGTCAAATGGCGGAGAAATTGGCCGCCAGCGGAGAGGCGAAAGCGGACCACAAGCAACGTGTTTCGGAAACGCCCTTCACAGCAACAGCCTTGGCCATCGCCAAGGCCACAGCCAAAGCTCATGCAGGCATGGAGATTTTCTGACAGCACAGACAGTCAATGTAGTTTTGTGCGATTCGGAGGTGGGGAGGCCTTTACTTTACGGAAGCCTTTGGCAGGAAGATGCTAGTAGCAGCTAGCTTCAAGCAACATTGGTACCCAAAACTTTTGTCATGAAAGCTGCCAGGTTGTGCAAACCAAGCCGACGACGCACTTGTCGAGGGAAAAAGATCTGGTTCAAAGGCACGAGTGGAATCTCCAGCAACAGCAAGTGCTATTGCCAAAGATAAGGAGACGATTGGATGCTATGCTATGCGGCTGGCTTCAGACAATGAGACCCAAAGCAGCAGGCTTGGCGTCCTGAAAGGTCTTAAGATACATGTCAGGTGTACTCCACATGTATATACATGTACATGCAAAGAGGTGTACACGTTTAAAGATGAGAAAGTTTCAAGAGACGTCAAGGATGCGACAGCTTTCCAAAATTGCTCGGCAGGTTCATCCAATATTTGCTTGATCGGTTTCAGTCTTTGGCGGCTGCGTGGGATGCTATGGACCCGCAGTACACCGGGGAGGTGACAAAGCAAGGTTTCCCTTCGGTGGTTGTCTTCAAGCTGGGCTATTGCCGAAATTCTGAGGCTCGCAGACTCTTTGAGGCCTTGCCCAAAAAGGATGCCCATCGCTTCACATGGAGAGATCTCGGACTAACAGCTGAAGACTGGCTAGAGTTTTCAACCAAGAAAAGTGGGAGGAATTGCAGCAACGATTGGAAGCGCAAAAGAAAAGAGCTGGTGATGGTGCAAGAAAGGCTTTGCAGAAGCATTATGATCGTGCGAACAAGAAAGGCCCTCAAGTGAAGCTGGTTTTTGGTGAGAAATCTCCTGAATATCCGCTGATCTTGCCAAAATGGGTGAGGCCAAAATCTGCGAGACAACCATCTGCTCGGGAATCTTAACAGCAACGTTTCTCTGACCAGAGCAGCATTTGTATGTGAAGTAATGCGCATGTCAGGGCCTGAATGGACGGTGGTAGAATAGGGTGTCCAGCAGGATTGCTTTTCTTTACGTTCCTTAGCTGGTTTCTTTGACAATGTAAGGTGTTAGATTTCATGCAAAGGCTTCATGGTTTGAAACTATCTTCAGAAAATATGTTTAATGTGTACGTGATGTTTCCCTAAAGATCTAGGAACCAAATGAATAGTGCGTGAGCTCTCTCCGTACTAGCTCCTCTAGCTACTTCCTACCCCGCTTAAAAAAAACAGAATCGTGATGTCACCATGATGCTTCATCCACAGAACTGTTGGAGGCAAGTGCTGTTCCGTCACCCGCCACTGTTTCACCCGCCGGCCGATGGCCATGGACGCTCCCACAGAGCAACATTCCGACAGGGCGGCCGTTGGCAAAAGTATGGATTGTTTGTGGCATATTTTTCCCCTTGCTTGACAGTTTGCTTGATGCCGTTGAGCAGCTTCCTGTCTTAGAGTCTTAGAGCAAGATTTGACGACCTGGGGCTTGTGAGTGTGGCTTAAACGGAGTTTAACAACTAAACTGCTTCAGATCGTTGTCAGGCAATTGTACCCATGCTGACCTTGCTGGTCATGGCTTGAAAGTGCGGCTACTTTCAGCGAGCGTAAGATGCGACCCTGGAGCATGGGGCTCGAATCCTTTGTGTTCACTCATGTATGAAGCTGTCAGTTGGTGCTGAGTTTCAAAGGGCTAGGTGTACATTGGATGTCACAACTTGTTGCCAACAAGGTGAGCAGGTGACAGTTGACTGCTCAGGTTAGCAATGTTTTGCTCGTGCACATGGGTGGTGCTTTTGGGCTAGGCAAGATGGGCTGCTCATTCAGCCAAGATCCAATGGTAGAAATCTGGAAGTGAAACAACAGTTTTGTGTAGAGCTTTGACCAGATCCGCGCTTCAGTGCAGCTGATCGAAAACGAGCACCTGATCCTGATTGGAACACCACGAACACAGCGATCCACTTTGATGAGAACACATAGTCGCTTGGACTTATATAAACTGGAAGTGGAGGAGTTGGGAAGTGGAGATGCATATTCGATAAGGATAAGTAGCGCATTGTTGTTGAAATACCTGTGAATATAGGCACTTTGCCTTTGATGGCTTGAAGCTTTCAGCTTAACCTCAGCAGCCTCAGCCAGTTTTGACTTTTTGCTTGAACGAGGTGGTGGATGCTTGACACGAATGCAAGTTGGAGGACAACGTTCTTTTTTTTTCTTGCGACTGATGAATAGTCATTGTTTCCGGGTGCTATGCATTGAGAGGCACCTCGTCAGGTTCTCCCAACAACATTGTTGTCTTACTTTATCAAGCCTTTCCACAGCATGTCTTGAACAATGCAAGCAGAACGGTTGTATATAAATGAAGCTCTTGCAGTTTGCTGGACAATTCTCCAGGTGTGTTGTGACTCGTTTGGTGCCAGCGACCAAGGACCTTGGACCATTGCGTTGCATGCTTCGCATGCTCCGCATTCTGATGAACTGCGGCTTTCTAGTTTGCTGGAGAGTGTGGCTCAGTGCTTCCATCCAAAAGACCGAGTGCTGGAGGCTGTGGGTGTGGCACGAAGCTAGCTAGTGGTTCCTCCACAGTACAGTTTCTCAATTTTTTTCCCACGCTGACCCCACCAATTCGGAAATTGTTTTTGCAAAATGCATGCTGGAACTTTCAACCGTTCAAGCGGTCCAGCTTGGACTTCAGTACGTCAGTACGTATTGCATCCATAATGCTTTTTGTACTCACAAGCTCAGGCGACGGCGATTAGCTCAGCAACGTTGGGGAACCCCGGTGGATTAGAACTTGTTGGTTGAGCCAGCTCTGGATGTAGCTGGTGTGTGTGTGTGTGTGTAACCCTTGGAATCACAGGGATCCTTTCGGATTGTTCTCGCTTTTGGTGTTTTGAGCTTTTTAGCAGGGGGTAGCGGCAGATCACTTGGGACCGCTACCAACGAAGACACCCATTTGATCTGGTGATATCGGAGTTGGCCACTCCGACGTACCTGCCATTTTCCTTCCGTTCTGAATGGCATGAGGCTAAGCCAAGAACCTCGAAGTTTTGATGTTTTCTTTGAACTGCAGATGCGAGCGGAACGTCGTCAGCCTGTTCGTCCGTCGTTCGTTTTCTTCCTCTTTGGGCCATTTCTCCGTTTGAAGACCCCCAGGATTCGCTGGTTCCCTACCGATACTCTTAGGAAATGGAACCCTAGGCCGGCGTGTGGCACCGCTATCAA